CGGACCAGTCTCTATATGGGATCCGAACCCTCGGCGGGAGCGCCGCCGCACACCACTGGGCCGGCCCAACATTGCTGTTTTTAACAAGCGTTAAGAAAAAAATGTTGACCATTCAAAATACTGACAATATTTTATATATAAATTTCACCTTGGGTGCACACCTCACTCAGGAAATAGAAAAACCTAGTCAAGAAAAGAACTGGGTTTTCTTCAAATCTCTGTTTCCCATCTGTGGAATCCTTAATTCAGCTAGGAAGTTAAGAAAATAGCAGAGCAGAATTCAAATCTCTAAGTGCTGGTTTCTTTTCTGAATAGCTATGTTGCTTCAAAAAGCTGGAAATCTTGAGGCAGAGAAATGATTTCTAGCGTTAGTACTGCAATGCCCTAGTAGGATTCCAGTCATCTCTACAGACCTCATATAATTTTTGAAGAAAATTTTGGCTGTTCAGCTAATTATCCAATTTAGTATATATTAAATTGAACTGAATAAAACTGCTGATGTTCAACAGTTTTTGATATAGAAAAATGGCTATTTCATATGGTTCAGTGTAATATATGCATGTGAGCATTCATAGAAAAGGAGTGCAAATACCATCTTTGTAAGCATGGGTTTAAAGTATTATACCTAAGAAGAATTTAGTCAGATAGCAGAATATGAGCAGAAGTTTAATGTCACTCTTCTTATAAACTTTGTCAATAATAATGGCAACAACTTCCTCAAAAGGATGTTGGATCGTTACTTTGCCATCAATTACCTATGCATGAGGTCTGACTATAATGTGAGAAGTCTTTTTTAAGGAACTTTAAAAACCCATCTTGGAATTTCTTTTTGGGAATTGCCTTTAGAGCAGTTGTGTGTACCACACAAGGAAACTGGTCTCATCATTTCATAGTCATACCTCGTGCCCAACCCAAATCTCCTGCTTTGAATTATGCCCATTTAGTCTCATCTGTAGATAGGGAAAACCGAACAACATCCCTCCAAATAAGAATTGTGTAAACGTGCCATATTTTTTCTTTTAGCATACTGACCAGTCAAAAAACACACAAGTAGATAAATAGCCACCCCCAAACCAAGGCTATTTTCAGAGAACTAATGAATGCACCTTCTTGGATGTGAGGGTAAAAACAAAATTCTTAAAATTATCATCTTTTTTCCTAAAATTATGCCAACTCTTTATAAATTACTTACCTCTGCTTTCAAAGTTCTTGAAATGTGTAACCACGGATGTAGTAACATATCTTGCTACCAGATGGAGTTCTTCTGGTCCCAATTCCTGATCTGTAAAAGCAATGACTTCAACTTCTTCAAAAGTTGTAATTTTCTCTAAACCTGGAAACTTATTTTTCCACTTTTTTAGTAAAGTGAAATCTCCACATGTTACAAGGTTTTTGTTTTCTTTTTCAGTTTTATAGCTGATTCTTTCCCATTCCACATTTTAAGAAAGCTTTTCTGATCCTTTCTTTCTTCAGACGTCACAAAGCTTTTTTTGATATGAAAAATGGCTTCATTGTTTCCATACTTTCATTAGTGTGTGTGGGTGAACCTGGAAAGCCATAACTCACCAGCATGGTATTGATGTTATATTCTGCAGCTAAAGATATTTTGAGTGGAGAAATGATTGTCTGATTTTGGTTTGAGTGAAGCAGTCTTTGATTTTCACCTTCTTCCATTTCCCTGAAGGACATGCCATGTGCTAGTGCTGATTGTACAGAGACACTGCATTTCTCAGATGGTTTTTGTAAGACACTGTATATAGGGTGAGGGCTTGTGGGGAAAATAGAATAATTTAGGTTCCCCCCCGCTCCCACCTCAGGTCCGGTTGGGGGTGGTGCAGCACATTTCTTGTAAACAAGTTGTGTGTGGGTGGAGTTAGTGCACATGTGCACCCATGTATCTTTTTTGTTTGTTGCTAGTGTGTGTTCTTGAGTTTTGTGAAACAGTGCTGGTGGCAGAGCTCATGTCTAAAAATAGAGCATGTTTGCTCTGCTGGCAGCTGCTCAGTTTTTCTTTGGACTTTGCCAGTAGCAGTTGAGTTTCTGAGTTTCTCTTTGGACTGCCCAGGTATTCGATGTGCGTGTGCTGAATAAGGACTATTCTTTCTTCAATCAAGGCTCCAAGGACCTTTTTGCCAGTTCCCTAGCTCATAGACTGCATGTGAAGAGTTTGTGAACGGGCTCAAGGGGTCTGTGAGCTCCAGACCCCAGTCCTAGCTCTACAGGGCTGTTTCCTTTTATGGCTTGATCAAAATGGCTCAGGCCTTGGGCTTTACTTCTAGAATGTGGTGGTTTAAGTTCTGACCTGAGCCTTTCCATTGAATGTGTGGTTTTAGTTGTATCTCCTGCAGAGTATCTGAAATATGAAGGTAGATTTGAGGAAGCTCTGTTCTTTCTTTTCATAGCGCCCTCTGAAAAAAAACACCAAGCCAGGGATTTGTGGAGAATTATCCCTGCAGCTAACTCTCTTTAATTTTGAAGTGGAAATTTCCATCCTGTTTGCAGATTTGGCCCAATTAACAGTGTAGGAATTTTCAGCTCCTGGAGCATATTTTCCTTTGGATGGCTTTTCATCAATGACTGATAGAAATGAGTACACTGCTCCATTAGTGTGTTGATGATCTGACTTGTTACAGTGTTTTCTAGTCGAAGGTGATTCCTCTTGATATTTTTCTTTGTCTAGCTTGTTCTTAATTATAGAAAGCATGTCATTGACAGTATTAGCAGTATAAGGAAGCAATTCTGAGTGGAATGAATGAAGCCGTCAAAGTGTATCCTGTATGTTTTCCTGGGAAATCATAATACTTGATTTAGATTCACCAGGAAACTTATTCAGTGGTTGTAATTTTGGCAATATTTTTTTCACTGATGGTTTCTGGTGGGCAGCAAAAAAGTTTTCAATCGGTATTTTCACAATTTCAGAAAAAGCATGTGTAGAGACATGCTTAAACTGTAGGGTCTGTAAATGACTCTGAGGTGTTTAGAACTCCTTCAATGATCTCTTGAGTGATTTGGTGGCTAGAGCCCAAACAAATTTTGTCTTTTCATTTTGTGTTATAGATCGGTACATTGTTGATGTTGTTTGTTCTTACTAGAGCTTGTCTTCTGTTTACTTGAGTTTCTTTGCTATCTGCTGTGCACATCTGGGTCAAGAAGCACAACTCTAATTTTTCAAATAGCATTTCAACAATTTCCTGGCCAAATATATTAATTTGTGTTTGGGAATTCTCAGCTCTAGTAGAAACTGTTTTAAAATTATGGTATCTGCTTTCATAAGCCTCAAGAGGTGACAAATCTAAAAGTGAAACTCTATTAGACTCTATTAGAGTCTCTATTAGAAACAGAATTAGACTGCTCTAACTCTTGTTTTTATTAAAATTTCACTCAAAACAGTCTCAGCTACCATCAATAGCTTATATTTTTCATTTTCTGCGTCACTTGATTCTGTTTGCCATTTATCAAACATTCGTTTAAAAAATCTTCTTTAGGAAAAATTTTCTCTAGCTGTGAAGAAACATTCTCCAAAGAAGGATGTGCCTCTGGATTTGCAAGAGAGATTGTACTTAAATTCTTCTGTGAAAGTTTGAGTTTATCCAAAAGTGAACCTTTTGTTGGCTGAGCCAAATTGTTCTCGGTAGCATATAACCCTTGCAAAACTGTATTAACCATTTCACTTGCTGTCACAAGTTGATTAGAAGGTAAAGCTTTTACATTTATCGTTGCTCTATTTTGTTTCACTTCTTGAAATTCATTCACAACCGTTTCCAGAATATTACATACTATATCAGAGCCGGCCCGTGGCTCACTTGGGAGAGTGTGGTGCTGATAACACCAAGGCCACGGGTTCGCATCCTATATAGGGATGGCCGGTTAGCTCACTTGGGAGAGCGTGGTGCTGACAACACCAAGCCAAGGGTTAAGATCCCCTTACTGGTCATCTTTAAAAATATATATATATATATATATTACATAGTATATCCTTGGCATGCATTTTTAGTTCTGCAGTGGGGAGTTTCATTCTCACTAACTGGTTTTTGTTATCCCCTGTTAACAGCAGGTGTTGCAGCCCAATGGCAGTTTTGGACCAGCTGCTTCTTGGAGTCTTCTCCCTAGGACCTAACTTGGCTTTAACACCACTAGGTCCTAGATGTGGTTTTGTGCCAAATTTAGGCAAAGGGGTAACTTTTGATTTTTGTTTTAAAATTTTTCCTAAAACCTGTCCTGGGGCTGCCCTTAGGGCCAGTTTTAGAACTGCATGGACTCAGAGATCGCTTTTTATCAGACTGTTCTTTAGGGGACGAACGCTCTTCTAAATTCTGCAAAGCAAAATTTGTGATCTTTTTGAGAATCTTTTGGACCAATTCTTTGTCCACTCGTAAAGGAGAAAATTGCAGTAACGTGGTTTCCAAAGCAGTGACACTTTTAATGCCTGTGGAAGGATAAACTTGTGGTATCACATCTTCAGAGGGAGCACTTCTTTTTTCTGCTTGTTTCAACCCCCTAAACCGTGATGGATTCATCAGTTATTCATCACTGCCAGATGCTTCAGATTCTCTCCTGGTCTCATTATTTTCATATAAGGATGTCACAACTATTGAGAACGTTTTTTCAAAAACACTTTCAACTATTGCACCTGCTACACTGCTTATATGTGACTGCAAGGGTTTTTTTGGTGCTGCTGCTGCTGTTTTAATTGTAGAATCAGATGCAAAGTGGGGAAGTTTGTTAAACAGAGGGCAATGGTCTACATCTTCCATTACCCTTCGATACACCTTCTTTAAAATGTCCTTAACTACACTTAACAGAGCAGATGTTTTTTCCTGCCTACATTCTCCATTTTGGAATTGTTGGGAAAATATAGGAAAATGGTCAGGGCCCCTCAGATGTTCAGAATCTTGCTGAGCATTTGATGTAAATATGCACGTGCACCCAGGTGTCCTGGATTATCCTCTAGTGTAAGTGCACATGTGCACCCAGGTGTCCTGGGTTATGGACTTAAGTATGAGTGGCTCTGATCTACGGCATCTCCCACTCCCGGGATGTCCCCCTATGGGGGGACACGGGGAGGCCACTACTACTGCTGGAGGCTGCTGCTAGTGCCCCCAGGACCCTCCGCAAGGACACTGCCAGACCTGTAAGCCACTGGGCCTGTAAGCTGCTGCCGTTGAGGAAGCTGAGGACTGAGCTCATGTCATCTGCCAACAGCTCCTGGAATCTTTCCCAATTACCTAGCATGGACCTGTGTGTGAGGGGTCTGGGGGCCCAGTCTGTACAGTGGGTTTGGAGGGTCTGAAATAATGAAACATTTTGGCTTTAGTTATGATTTGCCTTTACAGGAATATTTCCTCCAAAATTCCTAGGTTTTCCTCTTCTGATATAATTTGGGTTTGATCTGGGCATTTTAGAAAGACAGTTCAGTGTTGTCTTCCAACTTTCTTTGACTTGGCAGTATTTCATTTTGTACAGCCAGCTGTGTAATGAGACTAGGGTTCTGTTTTGAGGACAAACTACCTTCCTTTAAAGATATTTTATCATGCAAATGCTTCAAGATATTGTTGACAGTTTCACTTGCAACGATGTTTTGTTGGAATGAAGTATTATTTGGATATGAATACATCTTTTGAATTTCTAGGTCCACGTCATTTTAAATAAATATCAGAATGGTACTGGCAATGATATCAGCAGACTCCTTAAGACTAGCTTGTGATACATAAATTGCAGGTTCACGTTTTTCTCTGTAATTAGCAAATGTGTAATCTGTGACCTCTTGACTGAGAATGGTTTCACCTGTTGATATTTTCAGTCTATTCACATTTAATGGCATTTGGTTTGATTCAAGAAATATACTGTCATCTTGTTTACAATTTGTAAATTTGGGGCTAACAAATGATTTTTCCCTAGTCTTGGAATCAAGAGTAACCAGCAAATCCATTCTTTTTGTGGCTGAAGATTTTAACCTATTCAAGATAGCTTCAGTAATGAAGTTAGCATTTTCCTCACATGGATCAGGAGCAGATTGCTTGCTGTCTTGTTTTTTAAGTATAGTTGTCTGATTATTATCAGAATAAGCTGATTTTACCTGTACATTTTTTTTTTTGTCTTTCTCGGAAATGGAAAGCTCTCTCTTTTCCTTTCATTTGTTGAATCTGTATCTGCTTTTGGAAATGCATCAATGTCAGAGACAATCTTGCAGAAACAGAATCCTTTGCATTTATGCCAAGAATGACAGCAGAACTGAGATTTTGAAGAACAGTACTGACCATGTCTTTGGAAATCATAGCAGTATATGACTTAGGAACTAAAAACGTTGGAATAGCTTTATTTGCACACTTGGGGACAGTTCCAGAATTTGTTTCTAGATGTCTTCCACCTACATTACATTTAAGACTAGATGCAGCAAGTGGGAAATTGTTTTCATCCAGTATTTTCTCACAAATGTCATTTAAGATTCCCTCAGTGGTATCCAGTATTTGAAATTGAAGGGTTTTTCGGTAATCACTTTTATTGAACAGCTTTTCCACAACATCTTCTAGCCAACCTGGATCAATCTCTCTATCAGATATGATTTTTTCATACTTGCCTTTGGTAGATACGATATCTAACATTGTGTTAACAATCTGATTTGTAATACTTTCAGAAACCACAAAATTATGAGTTAAGAATGGACTTTTTATTTGTTTATCTAACTTATGTTTGATTTCTTGTAAAATCTGTCTAGCCACTTGCATTGCATATATATTTAATTTAGAGACATTCAGTTGACCTATTGAGGTAGTCTTTCCCAACTTATTATGATCCACTGAGCAACAGGAAAATTGATCACGAGAATATGAATCTTTGGTTTATAACCATGGTTGGCTTAAGTCAGTCCCCTCCTGCTGCAAAGTTAAAGTCATTGGAACTGTGAAATTGATATGAGGACAACAGAGATCTTACTTTGGAAATAGCAAATGTTTCTAAGCTTGTTAATACAGATTGCATAATATCTTCAATTACATTAAGTTTGGTCAGTTTATCAATACTGAAACTGGGCTGAAGTGTACATGGATTTCTGTTTAATATGGCAGAATAAACAGAGGCCTTTCCTCCACGGGCATCTTCCAGAAGAGAGATATTTGCTGGAACAATGATAGTTTTATGCCTATTTTCACTTACATTTCTATCTGTCATGGCAACAACATAAAGTTTTTGAAATATGATTCTAACATCATCTGCCACAATGATTACATCTGTTTCAGACACTAAAGGATCCATTGTTTTATCCAGGGGTTGAACAGATGTTTGAGCAATTGGCTCATTGCCAGCATGAAAAATGTTACATAAATGGGACTGAGGGAAAGGAAGTACATTTAATTGATCAATTAAATCATTCTGAAAAATTTCATTCAGAATATTTCTTATAATGGGCATGATTGGGGACTTGTGGCTCTTTGAGTTCTACTTCAGTTTTTTTCAGTGTTCTTTCTAATTCCTGTTGCTCAAGAGAATCTGATTTAGTTTCTTCTTCTGGTGGCTTTTTCTCTCCAGCACTTTCTTTCTCTGTATCTGCAGGATCTTCTAGATATGACTCTGGTCCAGCTCCTCCAGGAAGAAAATTTCCATAGGTTGGCCTGTATCTGTAATTTTCAATGCCTGTCTCTTCCAGTTCAGTTTCATTAAACACATCTGGAGGCATTTCATCTAAAATAAAGTTGACTAGCTTTTTAAGTAGTTGTTTCTCTTAGAGTGGGTTGTGTACCCATGTTTTGAAATCTGGCAAGCTCATATTTAATTCAGTTTGAATAGCCTTCAAAATAGTACTTGATACCTTCTTTATATGCACAGGTAAGGCAGACTGCAATAGTTCTTCATGTGCGTTAGCACAGATGTTGGTACTTTCACTTTCCCAGTCTGTCTTCTTGTTCTTTTTATTTCCATTAATTATAATGTCCAGAGAATTTACATGTCTGTTGGCAAACGCTTCCAATTTAGCAGAAACTGTTTCAAGGATATCTGAAGTCATGACTTTCAGTTTATTTGGATACTTTTCCTTTGAGTTCCCTGTTTTGGGGGCAGTAGGTTTCTTCTTATTGGTAGTCATCTCTTGCCTGCCTTTCTGGATCACGCTGGACACCATGCTGGAGATTATGTCAGCATCTGCTCATTTCCTCAGTAAGTGAAGCAAATGATAGGCTGTCAGTGTCGATATACTCTGAGATAGTTTTATTTTATTTTTATTTATTTATTTTTCATTAAATTTTTATTTTGTCAATATACACTGTATATGATTATTATGGCCCATCACCGACACCTCCCTCCCTCCTCCCTCTCTCCCCTCCCCCCCAAGAATGTCCTTTCCGTTTGCTTGTTGTAACAACTTCATTTCTATTTGCTTGTTCTATCAACTTCAAGGAATTGTAGTTGTTATGTATTCTCCACACCCCAGTTTTTTTTGTGTGTGTGTGTGAATTAATTTGTTTATTTTTTAGCTCCCACCAATGAGTGAGAACATGTGGAATTTCTTTTTCTCTGCCTGACTCGTTTCACTCAATATTATTCTGAGATAGTTTTAAATTCTGAACTTGTAAAACTGCTATCCATCTCAGCGCTACATAATTTTGTAATGATATCTTCTAGAATTGTATGAGAAATGAGCTGAATGTCAGACTGAAATATGGTGGTTGCTCTCAAATTCTCATTGATCCACTCTCTGGCTTATTATCAGATGGGGGAGGACACGGATGGTCTTCTATGAGCTTGCATAGCATGTCATATAAGGTTTCTCCAATTCTATTTAATACTTGCAATCTGGTGCATTTGTGAACTTTCTTTTGCCTAGGAGGACAATGAAAAGGAGAAAATGCTTGTTGGTCAGTGTCACCAGTTCCATTTGAGATTTTAGACCTTAGCTGCTTTGCAGGGAGTGGAACATTGCTTTTATCTGTCTTTCCACTTACCTCACAAATACAAGTTACTAATGAACTTGTCATAAGGTCATTGTTATTTTTGTGACAACAGAGTCTAAATCCTTTTCGGTCTTGGCCAAAACTCCTGTGTCTAGAAAGTTCTTGGGAGGGCCCCTCTCCTTAAGATTTAGATTTTCCTTTTTGTATTGCAGTTCTTTCTGGATAGCATCCAGAACGGTTTTTACCTCTTTAGTTGTGTATGTGCTAAGTTGAGATTGAAACAAAGATTTCTTGCCAGGTGCAGGCTTTGAACTGGCTGCATGGCTTTCTGCTTTGAAGCATTTTTGCAATTTTGGACAAATAAATGACTTCAGCTTCTTAATTATATGTGTGATCTCATCAATAATATGAAGAAAAGATTTAGATGCTGATTCACTTTTTTCAGATTCTAACCAGGGATGCTTTGTGGGGTTTATACCAAGTGTAGCTAAAAATTTCATCTTTTTACTCTCAAGCCATATTTCTAATGGCTCTTTATTTGGTAGGTCAGCATTATCTAGAGAAGTTTGGTGTACTGATGAAGAAATGGAATGTTTGATGGCACCGATGATGTAACTAGAAGCCACATGAAGTATTTTTAATACAGCATCAGATATTTCTTGAGCCACTGTATGGATTTCTGACATAGAGAACATCTGGTCCATCCGTTCTTGATGTGACAGACCTCATAGTTTTCCTGAATGACTGGGGGGCCCTGAAGATATATCTTTGAGCAATTCTGCTAAAATATTTGTAATTATGACTTCTGATGCTTTTTGTATTTGATCCTTTTCATCTTGGCTGAAAATCCAAATATCTTTATTCGAACATGTCTTGTCCTTATAAAAGTCTTCATTATTAAAAGTGGGAAGGCCAGTCTTTAACCCCCAGTCATGAAATGCTTCTTTGCCTTGACAAGCAGAGTTTGTACGTGAGTTGATATTTCTTTTATATTTAAGACCAGCATTTCCTTTGTTGACCAGTAGTCAGGAACCTGTTCTTGTAATTTTGCTTTTTCATCCTTGATAGATGAAATCAGCACATTTTCCACAATTTTTTTTATTTCTTCATTTTTGTCTTCAGAGTAAAGGACCATGCCAGGGACATTAATAGGTGGCAATGGTTGCCCATACCTAGGATGATGAGCTACTCTAGTGCCAGCAAGTCTGTTCTCTTCTTCAGTGCCAGGAGGACTGCTCAGTCTGGGGCATCTATACTTGTGTACATCTGTTTTCACTGGTTTCCGATGTAGCTGAGTCAAGATATCATCAAGTAGCTGAAGGATGACCACTGTTTCTTCAGTTGCAATAAACCTTTCATTTTTAAGTCCAATTTGTATATAATCTAGTATTGTGCCAATTGCTTCCTTTATATAACCAACCAGAGAGGACTGGGATAAAATATTTGACACTAGGGCCAGCCCATGTCTCACTCGGGAGAGTGTGGTGCTGATAACACCAAGGCCCCGGGTTCGGATCCCATATAGGGATGGCCGGTTTGCTCATTGGGTGAGTGTGGTGCTGACAACACCAAGTCAAGGGTTAAGATCCCCTTACTGGTCAACTTTAAAAAAAAAATATATATATATATATATATATATTTGACACTAAATTTTGTATTTCTTCTTTGGTAATCAAATTGGCTGCATCAGATTCAGCACTAGATTTCCTTTTGCTGGCTCGTTGAAGGAACGTACATGTTTGATCTTTCGTATATTGCTGATAAGCAGGTTTAGGTGTGACTTCAAGATGAACACATTCATTTTGCTTAGAAGACAAGAGAGCCATCAGTGTTTCTAAAATACCATGAACCACATCCTCTGCAAGATCACTCATGTTCTCCAAAGTGTAAGGCAGTGAAGCTTTTACAGATTTTTCTTTTGGGGAAATGAAATGTTCTCCACTGGCTAAATCTGATTTAAAGTGGGCCAACACATCTTCTTGTGAAAATACCTCACTACTTTTTTGTTCAACTGCAGACTGTAGCTTCTCAAGCACATTTCCCACAATTCTGGCAGCTGCTGAGGGGATATCAACTTTGGAGAGCAAGTCTCCTTTGTCAGCCTCAGGTTGGTCAACCAAAACTTCATCTGTAAGAGAGGAAAGGCTGGGGATGGCTTGGGATAAATCAGACACCATTTCTTGAAAAATATTTTCTAAAATTGACTCAGTTTCCTCTTTTAGGTAACGTTTAAAGTTAACAAAGGCATTCTTTAATTCTTGCATCTCATTTCCAACTTTTGCTTTTCCATTGGAAGACAGTGGGCATTCTAAGCCGTCTATTTCAGTGTCTGTTTCATCTTTAGGTTTCTTTGGGTCTGTTTCATCTGATTTACAGGATTTGAGCTGTACCGATTTACAGTTCTCATTATGTTTAATTTCAGAGGTTATAGGCTGTCCTTTCCTGTGATCGGTTTTTCCCACAAATGTTCCTTCTGTATGGGCATAAGATGGTCTTAAAGGTGTGGCAGGTTGGCCCACCGACTTGTCAGCTGCCTTTGCACAGGGCTCTGCCTGAAATGTCTTAGTTGTTTCATATATTAACGTTTCACTGCATGTACTACAGCAACTCAAACTATTTGAAGAGAGGGCAGAGTCAGCAGACATTGGGTGTGTACTATTTTGCAATCTTTCTTCGTATTTTGTGATGGCTGGGTACAGTATACTGGTCACTGCAGCCACAACCCATGTCATTATATTATGAATTATACTGTTCAGTTCTTCAGAAGTTACCTGGAAAGGATGTGAGCAGGACTATAAGGAATATCAAATACTTACTCTATTTAATTTACTCTATTCTACAGATGGGGGCTAACCTTTAATTCTGTGTATTAAACAATGCATAGCTAGAATACAGTTATGATGTATAGCGAGAACATGGGAAAAGTTCTCTTTAGGACATCAGATTTTTAAGTTGGCGATGGAGTTTACATGTGTTGTCCCCTCCAAATTTCATGTGGAAATTTGATCCCCAATGTGGCAGTGTTGGAAACTGATTGAGTCATGGGGGCGGATCCCTCATGCATGGATTAATGCTCTCCCTGGAGGAGGAGGGATTAATGAGTGAGTTCTCGCTCTTAGTTCCTGCGAGAGCTTGTTGTTTGTAGAACCCTGGCACCTCCTCTCTCTCTCTCTCTCTCTCTCTCTCTCTCTCTCTCTCTCTCTCTCTCTCTTCCTCTCGCCATGTGATCTGCTCATACCCGCCGGCTACCTGCCACTTTCCACCATGAGTAGAAGCAGCCTATGCCTGTGCCAGATGCAGCTGTCCCAGAATCGTAAGCCAAATAAACCTCTGTTCTTTATAAATTACCCAGTCTCAGGTATTTCTGTTATAGCAACACAAAATGGACTAATACAGTTGGTTTAGTCTTTAGGCTGTGATCTATTATTCTTTGAATATGATTCCTTTTGACTCAAAAGCCCTTGGAAGTTTTACTTTTAGCATTTATTATTGGAGATAAATGACTTTCTGGTAAAAAAAAAAAATAAAAATAGCCAAGTGAGTGTCTAGGCTCATACAAAACAAATGCTTGGCACGAAGTAAAACTGTATTTATGATCCAGGCAATGTTTATTAAAAATATAAACCAGATTATCTCTAACAAACTATTTCATGTAGCAAATTTGCAGCCAAGACATTTATGTGCTTAGCCTCTTTTTGCTTAGGCATCTGCTTAGTTAAGATATGAGGGTAAAAAATAAGGCCCCATGGTGGCTGGGGTCAGCCTGTGGGCCCTGCGGCTGACTGTAGCCTTCCTCTGTCAATTGACTGTGTTTATATATGCAAATGACTACAGCTAATTGTTAAGGGTTAATTGTCAGGTAACAGCACTGATGATTTAGGGGAAATAAATAGGCTTTGGGTCCAACAAAATACTATCAATGCAAACTGTCTTGGATAGGGAGGTGGAGGACAGATCATGAGTAAAGAAACACACTCATTTAGGTAGAAAAGAAGGGCTGAGCTAGAACCGGGACTCAAAGAGCCAGGAAGGCTGAGCAGTAGACCGAAATCGGAGTTCCCTTAGGTCTGAGCCTAAGTGGCTAATTGTGCTCCCTATCACCACTTGACTGGCCAGGTGTAGATGCAAAGTACATCTGCAAAACTCTGTACCTGTTTATGTACTTCTGCTTATTGCAGGGTATATTTTGGGAGCATACAAATCCTCATGCCTATAATAAAATAGTATGTTTTTAAGTTGTTGTTTTCCTCAAGATAGCCAGACCAGGAGTGTTTTCCTTCCACAAGAAGTGTACTTCTCAAGGCTGTAGATACAAGTCAGTGGAGGCAAAGGCCTGGCACCTGGCATTTGAGCACCAGGGGAATGATAGGATCCCTATAACATGACTGTTGCCCCCCCATTATCTCCAACGTTAGTGCCCAGATTGTTCAGGTTTAGGCCAATGTTCAAAGATAAGTTAACCCCTTGCTGTATGCAGCACCCTTTCTCCTGACCCGTTAGAGGGTTGACGGTCAACCCAGGGAAGAATCATTTTATTCCACTATAACTCCCAAATCTCTTAATGCAATTTTTAGTGTAATAAATTACATATAACATAAAATTTACCATTTTACCATTTTAAAGTGTACAGTTCAGCAGCACTACATACATTAACAATGCTGTGCTGTTGTGCAACCATCCCACCATGTGGTTGTTTTACTGCCTTTTTTTAAAACCTACTACACAGACCAGAAAATGGCAATTGAGTTTGAAAAACTTATTTTGTGATGACAGAATATGGCTGAAAAACACTTGTTTTATATAAACATGTTCTAAATCAAACACTAATAATAACATGTAAACATTAATAGGGAAGTTACTCACCTTCTTGGTCTAAATCCATTTTAATACATATGAGCAAGAATTTCAATATATATTATTTTCTTATTACCAGAGATCATGTACATCAGACCTACGCTTTTTTTTTTTTTTTTTTTTTTTTTTTTTTTTTTTTTTTTTACTCTTAGGAGAGCGGAGAAGCATTTCCAACCTTGGTATATAAAATAGGGGCATTTAAAAAATTTTCAATGAAGTAAAATGTGATAAACAGAATCTGATTTTTCAGTTTATTTTCACTATATTATTAAACAGAAAAATATTCTTTTGGTGCCAATGTGTCTTTGTGCTTGTTCATGATCTATGAATTGAACAGGTGTATGTGTGTATGTGCTTGAGAGTCTGTACTACTCCCCTGAACCCCTCTCTTGTTCACATTTGCTCTGTCTAGACTCACAGTTGGGGCTAATCAGATTTACTCTCTTGTCTTTGCTTGGCCCAAGTTGCAGCTCTCTAGTGACCAGGTCTTTTCTTTTGATGGAGTAGTCAACCTAAGATTCTTCTTACTTCTAAGAAAATTATTGGACAGATCCAGGCATCCTGGCTCACCTGCCTGAGCGGTGGGACACTCAGCCCTGAGACAGGTCTGCAGTGGTTTGCAAAGGCATTTCCCTTAATGGTTTCCTATTATGGAGTGCATTTGTGATATTTGATGCCTTTCCTGTGATGGCTAGACCTCCTAAGTCTCCCCCACCTAAGTCTCCTGAGCCTCTTTGCCCAAAGGGTCATCACTCCCTTTTAACAATAAGTTTGGACCCCTGAAAAACTCAAGATTAACAGTGAATGAAAGTCAGGCAAAGAGACTGACTAATGTCAACAGATGATTTCTGGTTGTCAGATTCACAGATTTTTCTCTTATTAAGGATCCTTAATATGTTGCTTTATAAGTGAATTTCATTCTACATACTTTTTCTTGATAGCGATTTTGATAGCAGTTTTGTTGTCTGAAAAGTCAAGAGAGATTGATTTTATTACTTAGGGCTAATAATTTGTGGAACTTCCCTCCAGATTCTGATATAACACTCCTGATCCACCTTACTGTGCTTATTTTGTGTAGTGAGCTGGGAAGACCATGGGGTTGGAGAGAGAGGGGATGGGCTAGTCCCTTCTGCCTGCTCGGCTTGATCAGAGCTTTCTGATAATTCACTTTCTGTCCACTTCCTGAAAACTCCTAGTCTCTTCCCTCTGCCCCACAATAGAAAAAGATCTACGGATGATTATTCAATAACAATGGATAAAAATGGTAGTTTTCTGATCATATTCGATACCAAATTAGATGTAACCCTTTTCTAGGTATCACATTGTTCTTTTCTGTGTTCTAACCAGAATTATCATCAGATGCTACACAGAATCAAAAATACATTTTACTAAATTGTAACAAATAGGAGAACAATGCAATCGTGTAAAAATTATAGACTAAAGAAGTTTTTTAAAAAACAAGGCCGAAGACTGCAATTCTGATTTATTTTCATATTTTTCTGCCAACATGGATTCTGTGCTTCTCTTCTTTCTGTCCTCAAAGGAAAAATGGCACCTCATCTTCCTTTGTACTTGGCCTGCATCTTGTGTTACCAAATTTACTTTTTTCTCCAAGGCCTACAATTCAATTTTGAGAGATACTGCTAGAATGAGAAATTACAAGCTGATTGATTCCTGGTAGGAAAAGAAAATCTTCGAGGTTTCAGCTCAGTAGTAGGGTTAGATAGCAACAGCCCATCCTTAGACTAGTACCTTTTTGCAATATGGAATGTGGAACATGAATGCTGATGCCAGTGATATAGTTTATCCTTTGGATTCACTCATTTTCCTTCATTTATTTCCTCCATTTATTTTCAAAAATGAATTTGATAACACAAGGTGCAGGCCAAGTAAAAAATCCATTTTCTCAGGCCAACTCTGGGACAATTTCCTTTCTGTAAATTCTCTGCAATCTAATGCTCCCAGATTCTTTTTACTGCTCTTTCTATCTCATACCAAAGACAGCAAGTGGAACCCAGTGAGTCCTATGTATTTGCTGCTATCTGTCCCCACAGATTTTCTGTCCCAAAGGTATGCATTTAGATAAAAGGAAAAAGCAAAGAGCTGAGAAAAAAGCTAACCAATGAGAAAAGCCTCATATAAGACCACTAGAAACTAGGTATAATATTGGATACTATCTGGAATTTGCAATGAACTATCAGATTCTTGTTGGAGTCAACCGAGCAGAAACGTGCAAATGAACTGGCTGTTATATTGGCAAATTCCATCACAATTCCAGGAGTGACATGATAGTCCATCTACTTTTCCTTAGTCTAAAGTCTCTAATTACATTGATGCTACTAAAGTAAAGCATCTAAGATTTAGGTCATTTGTGATGCCAACTCTCTACTTCTTAATAAAGAGGGCAGTGATATTAATGACAGTTCAGAAATTCTAAAGAGAAGGCACAGTTTTTCAGCTTAATTTGCCATGTCATAAAACTATAAATATATCTTTATGCTCCTGATCTTCTCCTCCATATAACCTCACTTTAGTCCAGAAGATACCTGAAAGATATCTTCACTTGGTTGGCCAGCCATCATCCAATGGAAATTAATGTGGCAAGACTAAATTTCAATCGTTCTGCCTAATATTTCTGAATATCTAATCTCTAAATCTAATTGGTGGGTCCTGTATCTTGGACCCATAGCTTTGGAGTGATGGCTGATACCTCCTGATTGCCCATACCACATAGTCCGTTCTATTGCCAAATCCATTTGCTAATTCTGGTGTCTGAATGAGACTTGAAAGCAGAACCTCTGTGTCCTAACATCATTGTTCCAATCTGAGCCAAAGACTAGGTAGTTCCATGGGTGGCTGACATTATATCCACTCTCATTTTGTCCTCAACTCATTTTCTGGTATTATTCGTGTTTCC